TGGAAAATATTAATATGTTTGATATTTTATGAGAGATAAATGTATCAGCTTCAAAATAGAAAAGATTGCGCAGCCATAGTGATTGACAGTATGTAGTGCGCATTGAGAAAAGAAGGTGCTCTCCATTTGCCTGCTGAAAATTTGATGGCGGGGAACACATGGGACTTCAAAGGCATTGCGCAAACGTTCTTTACGCGCTGCGGCAACTTTGATCTTGGTTCATTTGCATAACGCTGCGTGCGCGTAGCTTTGCCGAGTGATCTCCTTCTCAATAATACCACCATGGTCTCATTGTGAGGTTTTAGACGGAGTTAAGTTGTTTGTGGTCATGAGAAACATTCCTGTTACTCTGACAGGAATTGAATCCAAGACCCTGGATTGGAAGAACTTAAGAATGGTTGTCCATAAAAATCAAAGATTTGGTGGCAGACGTCAAAAAATGGATTTCTCTCAAATTTTTACCATGAATAGATACTTGGGTGAAAAGCATATCTATGATATTTGTTTAATTTTCTAGCCTTCGTTGTCATGGCAACGACCCATTATCTAAATTTTACAGTTTTTGTCAATTTTGGACATTTTTTGAAGTGAAAAAACACTGACTTTCAGACCTTATTTAAAAAAAAGAACATGCACTATATATATTTTTTTGTGATCATCCATGTAAATTACCAGGTATTAACTTCCATTTATCACAAAAAAAATTGTGTAAAAAATTCTGTTTGGAAGATACCATTATTTACAAAAGGGGGTTTTCTCAAAATATATATTTTTTAAAAGTATGCCTCAGAAACCTGACTGTAACTTCCAAAGTGGTGCAAACATATCCACCATCTTCCATATTTTGATAGTCAATAGTTGTCCAAATAATAATCAAGAAAAAAAGTTGTGGGTAATTTACACACATGGATTCGGTATTGCCAGAAAAACGGCATTTTTTGAATAAAAAATATATCATTTTTTACTGAATGGATAACACTAGAAATCAACGTAAATTTATTTCATAATAATGTTACTATAGTTACATAAATAACGTGTTAAGAAATGTGTTGCCAGGCTCATTTCAAGTTAGTTAAAACTTAATTTTGTACTGTATGGCATTGTTTTTATTGAGAAGGTAAGTATACATCTTTTTACTAAACAATAACGCTATAAAATATAATATAATTCATTAACCAAAACAAATATAGTTACCTGACTAGTTTAACAACATGCTAAGGAATGTGTTGTAAGGTTTATCAATATGCGTTACTGTTGCCAGGAAAAGCAGCATTTTTTCATTAAAAAATATTGTAAATATACATTTTTTACTGTATACGGAAAACGCTATAATATAAAATATAATTCGTGTAATTATAATATTACTATATACATGACTATTATAACAACATGTGTTGCCAGGTTTTTTTTTTTCAAGTATGTTAAACTCAATATTATACTGCATTGCATGTAAATCAAACAATTAACTTTAATTTTCTTTCTGAAAGCCAAACAAATTCAAACACCACTCTGACAAAAGCAATCCATGATAAATTCACTTTCAACGAGTTATGATTTTCAACTTAGGAAGACTCAATTTAATTGTTGAATTCACCATGAAAAGTTAATTGTGCCATATACAATTGGATGTTAAAGTTCAACTGTTTAGTGGACAAGCATGTGGAGGTTGTTATTGTGATTCCTCTTCGGCAGCTTAAAGAACATCTTCATCTGACTTTGTCAACAGTTTAGTAGCCTACAGTATAATACTGCGTCTTGACATTTCTCTAGAAAATAGCTTTACATCTTTTGCTCAGATTTCGGTTGGTTTAGATAACTAACTCACTCGTCGTCCCTAGCTATTTATTCTCATGTCTTTCTCAACCTCTGACACTGACTGTTTAGAATTTCTTTTGAACATATTCTTTTTGTTGTTTCTAAAAATCATGTGTTTTTTCTTGTTTTCTTTAAATGTAAAGGTGCGTATTTAATAAGTGTTGAATATCTTTTCAGTAAACTTCTATCAGATTACTCTTCATATTCTTCATATCCACACCTATTTGTGACCCAAGGTCTACATAAAATTCAGGCCCCCCAACTAGATAAATGAAAACTATCGGATAATAATACGTTTATTAGTACTCGTATGCTATGTTTGTGATTTCAGAATAAACAAACAGTATAGTTATAAAATAGTAGAATGGTCACAGAGTTAGTGAAGTTAAGTCTAAAACAATATTCATGAAGTCATTCAAAATCGTGTACAAGATACAGTGTAGTTGAACAAACTTTAAAGTATGTTCCGAAAGTAGTGCATCGTACTGTGGTACAAAGCTTACGTAATTGTATACCTAAATCAGGGAACAGTGAAATTACAATTTCACTGTTACCTGCCTAAATGAAGGAAATAACCTTGAATTAATTCAAAGTATACTAAACTATTTCATGACCTGTTGGAAAAGATTTGGAAAGCTCCCTGGCAGTGAAGCGGATCAGAACTGATGTAGATTGCGGTTGAGTACATGTTAAGAAACTAGTTGTGGTTATTGAAACTTTAAAAAAATATTGACGCCAGCAGAACAATCATCAGCACTATTTTCAGCAATGTGAAACTAAAACGTATTGATGAAGTATATTCACACAACGTCATTCAAGTCATGTAGAAAATAGTTAAACAGCTTTAAAGAACCAAACAAAAATGTGCGTGTCAACATTACAATTACTTTAGAAATATATCTTCAAAAGTAAATTTCTGGAGCTTAGCACCATTGTACGGACTATCTTTAGTACTAAATGAAAACAATAACCTTGAAGTAATTCAAAAGATACGAAGCGGTTCATGTCTTGTTTTAAAAAAAAATAAATGAACTTGCAGTGAGGCAATTTATGATGTATGTCAAAATATTATATATATATATATATATATATATATATATTAAATATATATATTAAATATATATAATATAATCACACCTAAACTGAATTTCCTTGTCCTTATTTTATGTGTATAAGAGACAAATATAATATAATACAGTATATATTGTAGGGTT